CCAAATATCATTGTAAAACGATTACAGCTCACCTTTATCATAAGTTCTATTCTCGATATATCCTTCTAGATCTTTTTTCTTAGGTAGAGGCGGTCGCTTGGATAACTCGACTTTCAATACGCAAATAACAAAAAATGACGAAGGTAGTGAAGCGGAACGCACTCCACTGTCGTCAGTTCGGTGCGTGGACTTGTCCCCGTCCCTTAGGCATTCTGACCTCCTTGCACTTATGCCCTTTTTCGCTATTTTAGCAGCAATCTCCGCCGTGAACCAAGTCGGCATCGCCTCGCCACGTCAACTCCAGTTGTTATTGATCCCGTAGATCAGTTGGACGAAACGTGCCTTCGAGGCGATTTCGATTTTCTTGAAGTAAGTTAGACGTTCTGTCTTTGCGCCCAGAATGGCAACTCCCGGATTCCTTTGGATTTCTTTGTAATTTGTGAAATTCAGGGTTGTCGAATTTGGGTATGCGGTGCGGAGCAATCGCGTGCTGACAAATGGAAGAAGATTCTTGATAGGTTCGTGCGCTTACCAGAATTCGCTTTACTTTCCGGGGAAATTGCCTCGTTTCCTAAACTTATTCATATTGAGGAACCGGCGCAGCTCTGCTTGGTGGGGGCATTTTACTGGTTCCCATCGATCACTGCCACTACCTCCCGTGGAGACCTGGAAATTCCTGTAAAGCTGTGCAATAACAGGAGCTCCGTCTACACTTGAAAGGGTCCGCATGTGTCACCAAGCTGTGACGTGTATTTTAGCATGATTAGCGGAGTGTAAAATGATGCCGCCCCAAAGCCGAACAGCGCCAGAAATTCAATTCATATTCGTATTTAAGATGTGACTATGCTGTTAGCTCCCGAATTTCTCCGTTCATTTTAGAAGCGGTGCCACCCGTGTGGCTGGTATGGAAGCTGCCAGTCATATAGTTGTTGTTCATGCTTCGACAAATGACCGCAATCGGCTCATTCAAGCTAAATCTCGTGGTGCTCACATTGTTCGTGCCGAATGGATAACAGCTTGTTGTGCGAAAAAGGATCAAGTGGCCATCGAAGGTGTGTCATTTTCGCCTTCCAATGGATTGAAGTACCGGGTCTTTTTAGAATTTCTGTGGGATCCTGATGACATCATTTGTCGTACTGCTTCTTTTGTTTCCGCCCAAGCATTGGATGATACGCCTAGGGTAGGCTCATTTCTCTTGAATTGTTAGTGGTTCTTTATCGCTATATTGGTAAAATACGAGGTACTATCACGAAACGTAGACGTCTTTCATCGCATGGGATCCTTCTGGTCCACAATCGAGTAGAAAGGTGCCACAGTATTGGCGATAACGTCAGGGGGTAGTAGAAAGGCGTTCCACCCCGTTGAGGTTCTTCCGCCCTCTTTTACGATAGCTATGTTATCGAGAGTACGCCAACCCGTTACCGCGCGCTTCTCTTGTCCGAGGTTTCAGACATCGACCAGATCGCCCAAAGTATGAACGCGCAGTCGAGATTTTGGCCAGCACCGAGACACTGCAATGGCGCAGGACGAAAAAGCAAGAGAAATATAGGCGATCAACAGAGCCTGCCGAAAATCGAATAAACGATATATAGAGAGCTAAAGTCTGCTGACCGCCTGATCAATCCCCTTTTGAGATGCGGCTCTCGCTGCCATGCTGAATCGTAAAGGCTCATGGAGTGCCATATAGCTTCATGAAAAAAAAAAACAGTTGACTTGCAGGCCAGCGATGTCCTAGTCAGTGTCTCATCCTCATCAGGGCGGAATCTGATATTCCAAATTTAGCGCTCCCGAAAAAGGTTAGAGGGCTTGGATTGCTCGAGCGAGAGGCAGTTTAGACACCTAGAAGCGCTTGTGACGGTATGCAGGCGCCCCAAAGCACAATACCACCATGCCGCCTCCAAAAAAGGGCAGATGAACGTTACAATGTGCTTTGGGGAAGTAAAACTGGGGCCGATGTCCATTTGCTAGCATGTTGCCTGCGGGCTGAAAATCATCCAAGCTCCAAAAAATTTGTACAATTTTAGAACGCGACATCGCTTGGTTTTGTGTGAAGGGTCTTGCTTGGGACGTTTTTGGAGTCTTACTTTTTTGTCATTCTCCCTAGTCTCCCTTTTCACGAATGTTCATTCTAGCGATCCAATGCTGAAATGTCTCGACCGAGTGGCTCCACCACAGCGACAAAAGAGTTAAGTGGTTTCGGAATACGTTGAATGTCGGCTACCGGATTGCAACATTTCAGATGCACCCTGTGACTTATCTTCTATATTTTCAGGTAAGCCGAATTGGAACATCATTCATATCGATTTTTGATATGTTCTTCATGTAGACTAGTGGTATTCATATGAAGGCCATACAATAGTTGGGACTGGTATTACATTTTTTCCCGTTTTTTTTTTCTTCGTAGAAAATATCATTAAGTTCTTATATGATTTGAGTTATCAGAACCTTTTTAGCAGTTCATCTTTCTCTTTAGTTTGGGAATATTTGCTATGGATTTTTTAAAGAACTCTAGCTCGTCATTTCAGGGCTTTGAAATTCCGTGTCAGTGGCTTAGGTGGTGATGTTGAAGCACAAACTATCAAAGAATTAAAAGCTGCAGGAGGTGAGATTTTACCCGTTTTTCTCAGCAGTTTTTGGACGATGGAAATGATAACATCTCCGCATTGAAAAATTTCTTTTCGGAGTTGCGCCACGCATTCTACTTCCGTTTGAGATCGTTGTGGCCTTTTGGAAGTGATCTGGCTCTTGCAAGGCCTTGCGGAAACAAACCGTTTAGCAATTCACTGGTACAAGAATCGCACGTGGAGAGAAACGGTCACAATAGCAACCTTTTCTCCCCCCGTTTCTGCGATTCTTGTGCCAGTTACCATTCCTTGGAGGATGGAGTCTGGACCTGGTTGTCTCGGGAAGGACCTGAGATTTGACTCTTACAATCGCACTGGGCATGTGGTGAGCGGCGCCCCTCTCACCACTATATCATCTGCACTTTCGCTGTCTATAAGCAGCCATAGGAGGGCCATTTCATCTAACTTTTCGTGGTGTCTGGCATAAAGAGGCCCCTAGAGGCATCCAATAATGTTAGAGTAGAGTGTCACAGCATGAGCTCGTCCCATTTTTGCTCCGAATTTTTGCTTGTTTCCACTTCATTTCCTACTCAATCATGTCGCAAACTCCTATCCTACACGGGTCATCAAACTAGTCCTGGCTTTGTTGAATATGAACCGAGCCTGAGAGCCTTCCTTGGTAACATTTTTTATTACTTTGAAGGCAGAGTGGTGTCGCCATCTGATGAACAGACCCTGGTCAACTATCTTGTCTGCAATCAAGTTGAGTATGAGCATGTTTATCCGAAAGATAGCTACGAGGAAGCAGTGACGGTCTTCTGGGTTGTAAGTTCTGCTTGAACCTATTTGGAAGTTACTGTCATTTTTACCAGATTCCCCCTGAATAAGTTATTTAAGAAACGATGTCTGATGGAATACCGACTACTGAAGCCGTCCAGTCATCCGCTGTTTCGTCCATTGCCAGCAGTTAAAGATAGCAAAGTGTTCTCGGATATTGTCGCTGTCATCAGTTGCTTCAACGATTATGAGAAAGTGAGCCTACCTCAATTCTCGCAGACTGTCAGGAAGAGTTCACAGTTTGGCGCTGTTCGGCTTGGAGGGGCATTTTCCCCTGAGCTTAATCGATTCATGTTAACCAGCAAGTGTCACTTTGGTCGGTCTTGTGAACACCTGTGAATCTGCGATTGAAATTGAAATTGTTCGACTCAACCACTTTGATCACGGGAATACGCAGGTCTTCACGAAGTGGCCTGTACAAGCCAGCCGACTACCACTTGCTGCCCATACTAAGCCGAATTGTGCCCAGTGTTCCTTTGGGCAGCATTCTATCTCAAAACTGATGTTTTGGTTTTATATTAAGACAGTCATATTACAGTCCACCTTGGCTCAGCTCATTAGAGAATTCGGTGGCCAAGTTCAAGAAACATTGACTAAAAGGAATCAAGCTGATCAGGTGATTTGATGGCGCTGCTTTGTTCCTTTAACCTCGATTTCTGTATTTGTTATTTTTCTTTTGAACTCAGACTACAAATCATACAAAAAGCTCGGCATTGGTCGGTCTCTTTGAAATGCGCCACGCATTTCACTTCCATTCAGGATCATAGTAAAACCTTGAATGCAATTTGGCCTAGCCAAAGACTTGTGGGGCTACCTGATGTAGAAATCACTTCTCTAGGATGGCATCTGCTGTTTAACACCGCAGTTCGCGTTCCGAAAGTTTAAACAGGAGTGTTGAGTTATGGGGGAAAGATTGGACCTCAGGCGGAACTCTAACCCAACCCTAACACCATAAGTCGAATGAGTGGAAGGTAATGGATACAGCCCTCGTCCGATGAGCGTGAGGTGGTTCTAGTTCTGCCTCAGGTCAAGTGTTTTGCCCATAGCGCAGGATTCTTGTGGTAACTGTCTTCACAGGAAGTCGTTTGCCAATCGAAGGGTTATAAGGCAGGGCTCAGAGGCCGAAGTCTAACTGAGGTTTGAGCACCCCCTCCCCTTCCCCCAGTGAGGGTGCTATTCCACTTTCACTTTTGTAGCACTTCCTATAGAAGGATGAAAGGAAAAAGCCTTCGAAGCTTGATCTGTCACTTTTGGAATAGCAGCCTACTTTGCGAATCGTAGTGACTTACTGGGTGCGATGTGACTTACAGTCTGACATGCGTGGCAAGGACAGCGTTCAAGTCACTGTATTTTATCCTCCCAGAGGAATCGGGTATTAGTGTACCATTCTGGGAAGGTGGAAGGCATGGTTGGTCTGGACTAGAGCCGATTCGAGATTTGACCCCCTGACTGCAAGGGAGATAAGCAGGCCGCTAGCCAGTACATCACCTTCGTCTCACTTCTCCCATACAGATTATAATTACTGAGTAAGTAGTAATCAAATGCCTCCTAAATTTTCATTGTTTTCATTTGCTCATAGAGGCATGATTGCAGCGGGCCGTTACTCATGTGATTGGAGGCGCTGAAGGAGAACGTGTAACTGAAGCACGGCGACAGAAGTTCAAGGTGAATATCAGTCTGTAACATTTCTGTCTGTTTTCTTGGTGACAGTCTGACTGCTTGCAGGTGGTCGATCCGTCATGGGTAATTGAATCGATAATAAACGACAAGATAATGAAGGAGGATCTGTTTCCTCTCAAGGTGTGTGATTCCTCGGGTTTTTTTTCGTCTTATAATTGCTATCCCTCGGAAGGAGGTCTCTGGAGACTTGGACTTGGTCCTTTCAATCGGCTCAGTATCTGTGCTATTTTGCCTGCAGTCCTGCTCACTGCGGGCGCTGGGGCGGTCAGGGGGCTGAGCTTGGCGCGACGCTAGCTTGTTCTTCAATCACGCCAAACCCAGCCTCCCTAAACCGCAACAACGTCCGCAGCGAACGAGACTATACATGGAAGTTCAAATAGAACTGTGACTCTCACGCATCCGAGGCCTTTCACGTATGATAAGTAGCTCACCCATCCACTTCACCCATCCACTTTAGAAAGCCTTTTCCCTTGCTCGCCAGATATGCTATGGTTCGATGCGCTGGTCACTCGATTGACTGGCAACCACCATCCTCTAACTGCATGTGGTAGTGTTTTGCAAAACGGTATTATGTTGGCTAGTGTTTTGCAAAACGGTATTACAGAAAGGATTAGGTAGTCCGTAACCCCCGGAAGAATAAGAAGAAGAATAACCCCCGAAACGTTTTCTCGAACTACACTATGGCCCTTACGGCCCCAAATTTTAGCGGTTCGCGTCACTTGTCTGTTCCAGCCATTTCGCGGTTTGGGGCTGCAAGCCACTTGGTTGTGTGAAAACACACCAGGGGAGGGGGAAGTCGTCCTTTTCGGCTGGAAGGAGATGGTGCGTATTTGGTCATTGGTTGGGGAGGACGGGGGGGGGGTTGTTGTTGGCGCTCTCCTCCCTCTTGGACGGAAAATCTCTGGCTGAAATAGAACGGACATGTTGCGGAACATTGGTAGATAGATGTCTGTGGGAGAGGGAGGGGCATATGTACGAGACTTATCCTTAGGTGGTCGGTCGTTACCAAGTCCCTCGCTTTAGAGGGGGCGGGGGGGAGCGGTGTCGCACTTGGACATCACCGTTTCACATACTTTCTGCTGTACCCTGTTTCGCGGCCTCGAGGTTTTCTTTCGTGCTCATGCGAAAGCTGTCGCCACGACATACCCTTCATCACTGTAACAGTCCAGCTCCTACTTTTCTTGAGCAGATTCAGAGTAAGCGGAGCGTAGCAGAAATTGTGATTCTCGCATTGTGCCAGCACTCTGACTTGGGTGGCGTGGGGAAGACAGCAAAGCGCCTTTCACGCCTTTATTCTTCCTCACGATAAATATTACCATTCACCTTTTTCTCATCGTATAAAGGGTCAAGAATCCAACACTTCGGCATCAGATCCTGGTCAGGCCCTGCTCATTTTCTAATGATTTACATCTCAATAATTTCTACCTTAACTTAGTAGGTTATACTGTAGCTACATGCTTTCAATGCAAAAACAACGGAACAAGCAGCTGACCGGGGTTTTCTTCTGAACAGGAAAAGCTTTTGGTAGACCAGTTGGGCTGTGGCAAGATCACAAATTTCGCTGATTGTTGCTTTAGTTTGATTTTTTCTAACCCTTTCTTTTTTCTTTTTCCTGCATAGTCTTATAAATGTTGTACTATCCTTTAGGGAGAGGCTTATGCTTCGTACAAAGGAAGAGCCGACGATCTGTGGCCAGATGCCTCCAAATCGGGAAGGAACAGCCGCCTCCGTGATAGCACTCTAGGGAAATCCTCAGAACAAGAAGCCCCAGAGACGATTTGTTCCGATTTGGATTGTGATGAACTGCCAGAATGGATTAGAACACCTGATACAGACCTATTCCAAGAAAGAACCAAGACACACACATCTGCAGAATAAGCGAAGGGAAGCGGGCCCTGTGCTGGGTGGGTTGGTATGCTCCACAGCTGACATCGTCGCAGTCAGTCGGGGCGGTGTCAGGGAGCAAGGAATTACCACTTGCTGCGTTTTATACCAATAGCTGTTTTTTCTTCGGTCGATCACTATTGGTGGAAAAGGCAGGGGCAGGCTGTCTCTACCCTTCTCTCTGCAACCGCGCCATTAGTTGCGACGATAGTCAGTTACTAGCAAGGCTATCCGTACTTTCGTGTCGCTCAAGATAGAATTGGAAAAAATAAGTTTGCCTTCTGCAGGGAACGTTCAAAGCGTCTACGCCGATATCTGCTGTACCATCGCGTTTACGTCCGCTGAAGTTAAACGATAAAACGATCGACATGAACAAGCCCTTCAAGCCCAAGTAATTACCAAAGTCTCGACACAGTTTGATGGCAATATTCATACTTGTTAGTTTTCAGCTTCCAAGGCCTAACCCAAGTTGTTGAGAACATACCCTCTCCAGGATCGACGAGTGGGGACACAAGCAATGACAGTCTGGTACGTCCTGTTTTCCTTTTTTGAACTTGACTGAAATTGGAGACATATCTTTGAAATTTTATTAGAACCAATATATTTCATCCGTTGAAATGACTGGCTTACAGACTACTTCTATGGTGGGACGTATTCTGAAGGAAGTTGCAGTCAAAACAGCTGTCGCTAAGCCTCATCGGAGTGGTCCTGCTGCTGTCAGTACTTCAGTTACACCTGCATCTGGACCTGACTTGAGTGAACCTTCGCAATCAACAAGACAGGTATTTCATCGCTGAACGCCTTTTTTGGAGTAGCTGACCTCTATTCTTTCTTGCTTACTCGAGAAGAAGAGCGCATCATGGGTGAAATTCTCATTATGGTGGTCGTATTTGGGTGCAGTACAGAAGGAAACGCTCACATTTATTTTGTTAGAGGAGGGTTCGCGTTGATCTCAACGATGAACGGATTTTGCTGGGGAGGTTTTTCGGTTTCTGATGCGTCGAACACCCACACTCTCTCTTCCCATTCCCCCGGTCACGGGATATTTTCTAGGGTAAGGGTATGAGATTGGTGGCGTTATTAAACTTTGAGGCTAGGCTAAGTAGATGGAGTGAGGTTGTTTGAGGCAGTGGTGGGGTGGAGTCGTGATCGCTATTGGGAGGAAAAGGCACGGGGCCTCAACCCTTAACCCTTCACCGCCTCGACTGTTTGCGACGACATCAACCAGCCATGTTCCTTTTTGCCATGACCTCATGACATGATCGTTAAGATCCCTCCTTTTCAGAGAACGCGAAAATCCGCGATGAGGCAGAAGTCAGTTGCAAAGGCAGTATGTTCGACAGAAGAGGAGCCAGGTCGAATGGATGAAATGATGGCGTTACGAGCCCGGATGACGGAAAGATTAGAGCAACGGAATAGAGAAATCGGTGCGTAAGTGCTTCATAAATCCTCCTGCCTGCTTTTTTACAAGTTCCTTTTTACCTTCAGCAAACCAGCTGGCTGAAAACATTCCATCCTCGAGGGCTTCAGTATCGGAAAAGCCTACACAGGAAGCTGGATCGCTACGCAGCCGAAAACGTGGCCAGTCATCTACCGATGGCGTCGAGCCTTCTTCGAAGCGATCTTCTCAAGTGGAGACTGCGAAGTCATCGGAACAGGAGACACATCAGCCCTTAATATTTTGTATTCTTTGATATACTTTGAAGACAAACCGCACAAGCACTCCCACTGTTCCTCGTCCTTGTCATCTAAAAGGAGAATGGCCTGTAGCTGCAGTAGCGTGGCACTTTTTCCCCCTGAAAGTGCACGGGATTGGGGTTGTAGGATAATGATGCCGTCTCCATAGTTCGCCCGCGCTGCAGCATAGACAGTCAGGCGCCTAGCCATATCCAACGCGCGACTTGTCTGCGCCCTCTCAATTCTAATTCTTCTCTACCGCTGATTGCGTGCTGCCCAGCGGGATTTTGGCGTCGACGCTAGTGCTGCACATCGAGGACAGCGCGCTTCGGAGGATGGATATGGCACCCGGGCCACTACCCTCCAACTCCGTGCCATACACTTTTGAGCTGAGAAATGGCACGCTACGAAAGCTGTGGACCCATTAACTTCGCACATGGAGAGGGCCGGATGTGAGTGTACAGCTTGCCTTCAAAATTTATCCTGGTCATCTTTGCCAATTTGCAAAGCAGTGAATTTTCTTGAGCCTCTGTAGTACTGTTAGAGATAGGCTCTGTGATTACTGTAACTGTTCCAGGTTGTCTTCCAATTCTATTCTCAATTACGAGGAACCGTTAGATGTTACGCGTCCACCGGTGAGTGGCAGTTCCATGTGCTGTACACACATTTTCAGGCGCAGTTCGGCTGGATGGGGGCACCAAATGGTTTTTAGCCAAGTCTTGTGGAGGCAGGGCTAAATAGGGTTGTGTAGGCCGTACTCTTGTAACGGGAGTGACTCCTTTGTACCATTCCGCAACTTCACAGAAGTTTGCAGGTTTCACCAAAATGGGACCTGTTAGTTACCATGAACTAGTAAAAGAGCAAAACGCCCCTTCCACGTCGAACAGCGCTCATTTATCTTCGCCAAAATTCGGACGCTTGTGGCTGTTAATCTTTCAAATGATGCTGAGTATATGTTCGATATTTCAGGTCCCACAAGCAGCAAGCCCTTGTGATGTTCATCGAGAAGGATTGCGTGTTGGGAGGACGAATGAAACGGGTCCCAAGTAGGTATTTTTTTCTAGCGTTCCTACGTTGAATTCCTCATTGAAAGCACAAAATGACGGGAGGTTCTTGGGTTCCACAGCTTACTTTTGGAAACTTTGTCGAAACCTAGATAACCGGACAATTCGTCTCCGGTTGACCCCCTATAATGTCACACCAACCTCTCCACCTCAACCTCTCCTTCTAGCCGTTAGGCAGCTTTAGGCAGCGTTCAGACTTCCCGGCGGCAGCGCTTCGACTGCGAATTTCGACGTGATCGATGCACAGGGTACAGCATCGTTGTGCGAAACCCATAGGGGGGTCGTAATCTCAAGGGTCACTCAGAGCCTGGCAAATGCTTCGACATTTCAGTTGATAGTGGGAGTGGAGCTATGGAAGTCAAGATGTTAAAAAATGAAAATTATTATGAGTGTATTCTTTACAGATTTAACTGCTACGTTTAACAGCCCTCTTTGCGAAATCCCCAAAAATGGGTTCGTACTTGGCCGCGGGGACATGGGGAGTATCGCAAAAGTAGGCTCGCTAGGCATCAAACAGTACAAAAGTGTCATTGCTAAGTTTGATGGAACGGACGGAAAGCTGCAGAAGACCCGGATGTAAATAGGACTACAAAATAATAAAAAATTGATTAGCAATATAGCAAGAATAGCAAGAATAAATAAATAAATATCAGTTAATAGCATGAACTCGTAAGTACGTAGATGACTGAATAATACGCCTAAACAGATTCCTTTCCAAACCCTAAACAAACATCTGCTTGCATGGATAAAAGCACCTGAAATCAGAATTTACACCTTTCCACCACCTCTGCGTAGGAGCGTAATGCACGGCGCACACTCGGACCAAATCGATCAGTGATAGCCGAGCTCCTCTTTCACTCATTTGAAGGGAAATATGTGTTTTGAAGGCACACTAAAGTTTTCGAAGGTGTATCGTGACGATGGCATACAGGGATAGAACTTCTGAGTACTCAGAGGGTAGCTTTTTGGTAACCCATCTAAAATATCCTGATCTAGCGGGTCTTCAGGACAACTGTACAGCTTGTTGGAAAGAGAAACAGATAGGGCGCTTCCAAGACGGTCTTGGTCCTGATGAAAATGCGTTCGAAATAAGTAATCCTCGTGTGTAGCAAAAAACCCGCTTGCCATTTACCCCTAGCCGATCCGAAATATTTCACGAACGGGGAAACATTCAGATTGCAACTGGGTGGAAAACGCAACAGTAGGAACATTCTCGTTGCATGCTGCTAACCATTCATCAAAAGCCCCTCAAAGAGATCTAACCCCCCGAAAGACCCCAGGACGTTGGCAGGCCCAAAGACCGCGCTCCAATGACGTTTTTCCAATGAAAGCGGTCGCAACGTTGCGATCGATAATAGCCAAGTATAGAACGATATACTGCCGCCTGGTTATCCATTTTTTTTCATTTGGCTCCGCATTTTTTTGTATTTTTCATGTTTCGCTTTGTTGTGTCGTGCATGTTTTCATGATTTCCCCGTCACCATTCATTGAATGCACATCTGGGCCTGACACACCAGGGTACAGCATGGGATGTGCGAAATGTCGGTGTGAGTACGACCCCCCCCCCACGGCTTTTTCGCCGACGACGAGCAATGAGTATATAGTCGGCGAAAAAGTTGTCGAGCGGGGGTATACAATAACCATGCAACGTATATCCCACGGGCGTACAGAATGCATATAGTGCATATAAAACAAAAATTAATACGACCCCCCTTTTTCCACAAGAAAAAATCAACTATCAAAATAAATTTGTCTTACAAATACGACCCCTCCCCATGGGTTGACACAACGATGCTGTACCCTGGACACACCGACTTTGCGGGCTATTTTTTCTCCTAAGACAAAACTGTAGGCAATGCGAGGCTGTTGTTCAGCCTCATATTGCATGAGGCTGAAACAGCCTATTATTGCCTGGATTTTAGAGCAGAGTCCGCCTTTCAAAAATCCAGATTCCATTTCAGGAAGCCATTTGTGGTGAACATGCATCTGGTTGTCAGTTAGAGCAGGAGGGGGGGGGGGTCGTAACTGGACCCTCTTCGAGGGGAGGGGGGGGGGGTCGTACTCACACCGCCATTTCGCACATCCCCATGCTGTACCCTGTTCGCAACGGCAGCGCTTCGGTCGCGCATTCGACGCGATCGATGCAGTTGAAAGCATGTGCGCATCGATCGCGCCGAACGCGAGGCGCTGCCGTCGCGAAGTCTGAACGCTGCCTTATGGGAGCACACTTTGGTGGAGATATCATTGTCGTTTTCATTATAATCGAGAAAAAGTTAGCAGGAATAAATATGTTTGCATTTCGTATTTCAGAGCTGCCGAGATGTTACCGGAGCCCACCTCGAGTGACTCCAGGCGAACAACAGGACACGGAATCACTCGACGAACAGTTTCTGGACCATGTGTAGCTGCTCCACAAGTACCTGATCAACCTGGCGCTCAGTCGTTTCCGCCGAACTCACGGGAACCGCAGAATGAGGCTCCGGAGATGCAGCGGCCTCAAGCAGAAAGTCGCACCGCAGCATTACCACTTCAGCAGAATTCCACAAGACCTTGGTCAATCAAATGCGCATGCAGCGTCGTCAGTGCAACGGAAACATGCAGGTGCTGAAGCTGTGGTGGACGGCATTGGTGGAGCGGAGACAAGAAAATCGCTGCCGAAGGCTGCTGCTCCTGGGTTGGACGAGGCGAATGGCACCACTTCAAATCCCTCATCGGCACGCATTTCCGTCAAGCAGGAAAGGATATCCCTTGTGCTGAGCGACACAGTTCGACACTTCATATTCACTGCAGTTCAGCCAAGTGTATGTTAATTTTTCACATCCTTAAAAAATTATGTTCTCCATGTCTGACAAGAACTTTCAGGAACGATTACGCTTATCGAACATCATAAGTCGTTTGGGAGGAATTGCGGATTCTGGTGAATTGAGCGATGCTTGTACTCATCTGATCTGCGGAAAACTAGTAAGTAGACTTCTTTGGGCGCTTGTTCTTGAGTAGCATCTGTGTGCTCTTTCAAGAACCCGATCTAGGGAGGGGTCCTTTTACTGAAGGTCTCCATAAATGCCTTCATCGAGACGTTGTGGCACATTTCACACTGGCCATTTGGGTTGAGTCATTGGGACTATTGCGCGCTTTTTATTAGTGGCAAGGGGGAGGAACAGGACGGTGAGACCACAATACTCAAACAGTTCTCTCGCCCCTCCCTCAGTCATCGCACATTGGGAGGCTCGAAGGCAGTTTTGCTGGAGAAACTGGAGATTTCCTGAAAAAATCTCGGGAAAGTGGTAAGAAGTTGGCAGAGTTGAGTAGATGATCGGAAATAGAAAAGAAGAGGGGTCGTCCAGGGAGAGGACTTTTGACTCGAAGGGTTGCATTCTGCAAAATTTTACCCCTGAGGCAAGAGACTTGCCCTCACTGGATTACAGGCACGGTAAGGTGTAGGAAACCGATGCGGATAATGATGAATAGCAACTTTTCAGATCGTTCCAAAGCCTAATGGCAGTATTGCGAGTGGACGTTTGGAGTGTTTGGTGCCGATTTCGTGATCGAGTTTGCTGCTGGAAAATTGGCTCCGGTTAAGTCACCTCCTAAAAGCTCCCCCTGCATCAGTTTAGCTGCTTTCATTCACAGCTATGTGAATTGTTTTGAGTGCAGGCTTATATTTAGCTCGAGTACACGTGCAGGGTCTAGCAACCATTTATTGATCTAAAAAAAAAAGTTAAACGAATAAGAAGGAATTAATTGTCTATTGAAATGTTTGATGCGAGGCATACATTCTGTCTTGGATTCTCTCATTTGAAGCTTAGACGTGGCCAGGGTCTTCTCTGGGACAAAAAGAGAATATTTTCCCAATCCATCCACGGAGAAGTCTATTGGAACCAGCGCGTGAGGCCCAACCCTGAATATTCTTTCTATGCAATTAATTTTTAGGAGAGAGGATTTTGAGTGTAGCGAACCATCTCGTCTATCACTGCCATCTTGCCGTCGGAAGGAGGAGCAGAAATTGCAACAAGCGGGCAACAGAACGACAATTTTCACGCTAGCTGATCCAGATCTGTCGTCCGAATGGCGTTGAAATGGAGACAACAGCTCTTCGGGTTAAATTTCATATCTTGGTCATCGTCATGAACAGATATTACTAATTTTTTAGCGCCGGTGCATTTCATCGATGGCGGCGTGCGTTATATTGTTTCGATGAGGAGCAGTCTGGTCTGAAGTTCCGATGCTGAAAGCCGGTGGAGCGGAGTTGCAATTCCATGGCATGCCTTGAAGCGCTCACTTGAGTCTCCGTCCAACTCATGCTGTGCTTCGGTGTACAAGATGAATGGCTGTCAACACTTGAAGTGTCAGCGCTGCATTTCAGTCTTCATTATTTAGTGCTTGGTTCAAGAGATCCACTCTGCGCCCCGGCGCCGCAGAAAATACGTCAGGCGTGTACGGCGCAACGTAGCGTGCGCGACATCACTTAGCCGCGCAACCCTGGGACAAAATAGTAGGATTGTGATGCCGCAGGCAGCTTCCAGATTCGGACGTTCCGCTTGCAAGCGGCCACGCGTACGCCGCAAAGTTTGAACGCCTGCCTTAAGTGTGACCTATTCACCGTATGATTTGCTTTTGCAGCCTATCTGTCCCTCTTCGCCCAACCAGTTGAGGTATAACTTTTCAAGGCCTGGACAAAAGCGGAAAGACAAGGTGCACAAGACCAGATCATGTCAGAAGCGGCGCCAGCAGGGCGAAGGTTTTGAGAGGGCGTTCCATTTTTCTCACCAATCGTTGTCCCCTGTCGGTTCCACGGTTGGTGGAGAAAGAGCTGACGCCGCCCAGATCAGCCTCCTTGACACGCCTCAGAATCCGAAGCAAAACACTATAATTGTGCTCCTGCGCGGACCTTCTGACCGACACCTTTTTTTTTGGTGTGGAATTTGCAGAACAAAGTTATGAGTATTTGTGTTCAGGAGTTGCGAATGCTGGTGAGTGTTGGCGCAAAAGTCTTCTCACTTGAGTACATAGCAAAATTCTTACTCGAAGAAAATGTGGATGAAACCTCGTCCTATCATGCTGACTACAAGAAGTTCCTGCAGTATCGCAGAAAATGACCATGTGTTGTGAAGCTGTGCTGGCGTATTAGTGAGTATCGATTTTACGCGCAAAGGAATCGATAAACATCTCTTACACGTAATCTCCTACCAGGCGCCTGTAAATCAGTACCCTCTGTATCTCCCTTGAAACTTCCTTTTTACTAACATTCCTAATGCAGTCTTTTTGGGACAAAAAGCGCCTGCCACTTAAGAGTACTGTTCATTCAATAGTTTGTTTTTCCCATTTTGCTACTAGAAAATCTGTATGTCTCTTGGCTAAGTACCAATGAGCCTCATGTATCTCTCTACCTCCTTCTAATCGCAAATGTGAAATAGAAATTGTGTATTTGTAAATAAAGAATTTGATAGAACGTTTAGAACTGGGCTTCGGAAGGATGCGGATCCTACAGGGCTTATTCTGTTACTATGCCTAATCATGTTGAAAAATGGGTTTTTATTAATGAACCCTTTATTTTCATCAAAAAATCGAAACGGGAAAACATTAATGGAAAATTTACGTAATAGCTTTGGATGAAATTTCGATTGCGCTTCATAGTTGATCGTCCTGAAATGAATAGGTGAAGCATGGAAAAAATCGATATACAGTTCATATCGTCGCAGTCAGTCGAGGCGGGGTCGAGAGGCTTGGAATAAGGCTGCTTTCATACGTTGGGTCAGCTTCCACCAAAGTTCCAAGCGTACGCCAGCGCCTACTAGCCTGCAGCAGCGTTTCGCCGACACTCTGGAACTCGAGGAAAACTGAAAACGTTGGTGGACGCTGTCGGACGCTGGTAGGCGTTAGTAGATGCTAGGTCGATATCCATACTTGATGTCCTTCTTATTGTTAGTTCCTCGAGACGCTGATGGTCGCTGGCGGACGCTTGGTGGACGCTGGTAGGCGCTGGTAGATGCTAGGTCGATATCCATACTTGATAGCCTTCTTATTGTTAGTTCCTCGAGACGCTGATGGTCGCTGGCGGACGTTGGTGGACGCTAGTAGACGCTGCTTTACTTTTTGGCGTTTACTAGATTGAGATATCTATACCTTCTTAGTGGCTGGTGGACACTGTCGGACGCTGGTGAAGGCCAGTAGACTCTGGTGAATGCAAGATCGATATCCATACTTTCCTAGTCCCTCGAGGCGCTGATGGTCGCTGGCGAACGCTGATGGACGCTGGTGGACGCTGGTAGGTGCTGGCGTTCGCAGGATCCATATCTACACTTTCCTAATCGCGGACGCTGACGGACGCTCAAAACGGTGGTGGACGCTGGTGGTCGCGCTGGTGGAAAACGCATGAAATGTAAACGTATGAAACGCAAGCAATAAAAGCCCATCCGTCGGCCCGTTTTTCACACAGGCTATTTTCTTCCTCAATCCGATCAATAACCCATCACTATTGGAAGAAAAGGGGGCAGGAGGGGGGGGGGGGCTCATCCCGCCTTCCTGGCACCGCCCCAACTGAGCGACAAGACTCGCGATCTCACCCTCGCCCTATCACTGCCGGAGTTCGTCTGATGATTTCATTTTGGTGACGTCAACGTACTCGTCTAAGGACTTGAGATCCGTCTTTTCTTTACTACCTGCGTACTCGCTGCTACCTAATTTTTCTTTGCTTCCCATTCCCTCTTTACTACCACTTTTTGAAGGCCCAAGTATCTTTGACTGCATCAACATTCTACCACCAGCTTTTTCGAGTGTGTTCATTCCACTGATTCTTGATTTCTTTGCGCCGTACTTCGACCTCGTCACCTCCTTCTTCATCTTGCTCTTCTGCTTCTTGCCACCTTTGATTCCCTTCTTTTCATCTTCCAAATCACTGTCGAGTACATGCAAATCAGAATAGATCCTCGATTTGCGTTTTTTCTGCCCCTCGTCAGACTTTTTCTCTTCTTCACTCGATCGAGATAGTTTCTGTAAGAGACAGGTTTTCCAATTTGTTGTATGAAATGCGTAATAGTCTTTCAAAGGCAACTTGGACTCATAGAACTTCGAGGAAGACCTAGCATGTCAAAAGAGCTAAGAATGCTGGTAATAAAACATGGAAACAAGGGCACATCACTGCCAGGGGGATGGGTTCAGCGTGGCGCCAGACCGTTCCAGCAATCGTTGAAGTTAGCAGGAGACCATAATTAGTGGCAAATTAGCTGGCACCGGACCCAGAAGAACGGCTGAACAACTTTACATAACTCACGGAACGGGGTGGAATGAGCAGGGTGAAAGACTGTCTGAGTTTATCATGTCGACCCATACCATCCATGGTGAACTCGCAGTTCTCCTGGTGGACAACCGACCGAATCATCTTCATTCGAAGGTTTTGCCTGACCGATGTCGCTATTGTTCCTAAGTTCTACATGAGGATCCGACCACCATCTCCTTCGCGCCAAATTCCGTTTTTCGATGCAAAGAGAACCGCAAAATTCAAGAAACGAAGTCCCAAGATCGGTACCATTTGGGATCTTTTCAATTCTCTGGCTGAGGCTCTGGGAAGGAGTCCATCATCGACAACATCGACGAGGAATCAGATGGCTTGTTGAG